CATTTGTTCTTGCCTTTCCAGTGTCTTGAGTTGCAGTGTTAAGTCATTTATTTGGGCTCTTTCTAATTTTTTAATGTAGGCACTTAGCGCTATAAACTTCCCTCTTAGGACTGCTTTTAATGTTTCCCACAGTTTGTGTTGTGTTGTATTGTCCTTTTCGTTGAATTCTGGCAATTCTTTTCTTTCTTAATTTCCTCCTTTGACCCACTCATTGATTAGGAGTGTGTTGTTCAATCGCCACGATTTCATGTGGTGCTTAGGGTTTTGTCCAGTGTTGATTTTGAGCTTTACTGCAATTGTGGTCCAATAGACTGCATGGAATTATTTAAATTTTTTTATATTTGTTGAGGTTTGTTTTGAGGCCCAGTGTGTGGTCAGTTTTTGAAAGAGTTCCATGGGGTGCTGAGTAGAAAGTGTATTCTTTGTTGCTTGGGTGGAATATTCGAAAGATATCTTTGAGGTCCATTTGATGTATAGTATGATTTAATTCCAGATGTCTCTCTGTTTATTCTTTGTCCAGGCAACCTATCTAATGGAGACAGTGGGGTATTAAAGTCCCCCACTGTTACTGAGTTGGGGTTAATCTGTGTCTTAAGGTCCTGTAGTGCTGTTTTTATAAATTTAGGTGCACCAGAGTTTTGTGCATATATGTTAAGGATTTTAATATCTTCTTGGTTAACTGTTCCTTTGATCAGAATGAAGCGACCCTCCTTGTCTCTTCTAATTAGTTTTACTTTGAAGTCTATTTTGTCAGATATTAGAATTGCAACCCCTGCTTGTTTCTTAGTGCCATTTGCTTGGAGTATTCTTTTCCATCCTTTTACCTTAGGATAAGGTAGCTCATTTATTTGGGCTCTTCAGGTAGTACCATGACAGACCCTTGGATACAGCACTTGGTCTAGTTTCTCATTTGCTCCCCACAGCAGCTCCACTTTGCAGATGTGGAAAGAGAGACCAAGGAAACTTGTCTCTGGCCAAAAAGACAATGTGTGGTAAAACTGAGGTTTGGGTCAAGGCGGTTTGGCTCCAAATCCCATTTTTTTACTATTGTGCTCTTAAAAGTAAGAAAACAGGGCCTGGAGAGATGGCTCAGTGGTTAAGAACACTGACTGTGCTTGCAGAAGACCCGGGTTTGAATCCCAGAACCCATATGGCAGCTAACAACTGTCTGTAACCCCAGTTTCAGGGGATCCGAAAGCCTCTTCTATCCTCCACAAGCATTGCACGACATGGGTGCTCTTACCTACACACAGGCAATACATGCATATACATAAAATTAAAAAAATAAATAAATAAAATATTTTTTAAAAGTAAGAAAAAAGCAATTCAGAGTTTCAATAACTTTTTTAAAAATAAGGGTTTTATTATATTTTTAATTATGTATATATGTGGTATAAAGGAGTTGGCTTATGAGTACAGGTACCTGTGGAGACCAGAAGAATCCCCTGGAGTGACAGGTGGTTGTGAGCCTCCTGATGTAAATGCTGGAAACCCAGGTCCCCTGCAAGCTCAATGAGGACTCTTCACTGCTGAGTCATCTCTCCAGCCCCCTCAATAACTTTTCTGAGGTTGCAGAGTTAAAGAGCAGTAAGGCATCTCCAAATGTCTTCTGCCCAATACTAGCCTCTGAAAAGAAGCTTTGGCATTGCTCTTTAAACATGGAGACCACAGCCTTCTAGGAGCTTTGCCATGTACATCAGTGATGCTGTATCAAAGATCTTGGGTTGCCTTCCGTAAGGTCAGGATCTCCCGAACCTCTGACCTCTGTCTTCCAGTACCTACCAATATCACTCAGAACTAGCACTGCACTCTATAAGGCTGGGCTGACCTTACCCAGATTCCCTAGATCTTAACCAGATTCTCCAGGCTGGGGCATATCATGGGAATCCAGGTGAATCTTCCTCTCCAGCTTTGTTTGTCCCTCCAGGTAAAGCTGCTTGGTAAGGCACGGAATTAGAGCTAATAAGTGTACTTTCAGGGGCAACTGATCATGGGGGGAATAGCAGTTGAGGAGGCAAATTTGGATGCATGCATTTATTCCCTACAAGGAAATTAAACTCATCACCATCCTGAACCCAGGATTGGGCAAGAGCTTCCTAACTGATTTTCCAGACTTCCAGACTGACACTATCCCAACCCTTCTACTCTGTCCCCAGAAACACTTTAAACTTACATTTATAAATTTAATTATGCCAGTTTACTCTTTGGAATTCTTACCGGCTCCTCAGTGCAAAATTCAAACCCCTGAACGTGGTTGATAAAGCTTGTGAGAACGTCCAGCCTGAGTGTCTAATGTGCTTCCCCACCCATTCCAGCTATTCAACCATTTTCCAGTTATTTTGGAAAAAAATTTATTTATTTATTTATTTATTTATTTATATGCATATGAGTGTTTTGCCTGCACGTATGTAAGTGTATCACGTGCATGCAGCAGCCCCAGAGGCCAGAATAGGGCATTGGATCCCCTGGAACTGGAATTATAGCTACTATGTAGGTGCTGAAAGCTGAACTGAGCATCAGGTGCTATTAACTGCTGAGCCATCTTTCTAGCCCTCAGTCTCCAGCTTCTCAAGTCATCATGTACCTTCTTGTCTCATCCATCCTCCTCTCTGCCTGAAGCCTTCTTCCACATCTGTCCTAGTTAGTATTCTGTCAACCTGACACTGCTTAGCATCACCTGAAAAAGGAGCAATTGAATAATTGTCTTTATCAGGCTGTTCTGTGGGAATGTCTGTGAAGGATTGTTGTTACTGTCTTTACTGATGTATGAGGGCCCATCCAATGGAAGGCAGTGCCATTTCCTAGGTAGATAGTCCTGGACTGTAGAAGAAAGCTAGCTAAGGGTGAACCATGAGCAGGCCAGAGAGCAAGCCAGTAAGAAGCCTTCCTCCATGGCTTCTGCTTCAGGTTCCTGCTTGAGCTCCTGTCTTGACTTCCCTCAATGGTGAACTGTGACCTGGAGGTAGAAGCTGAATAAAATAAACTCTTTCCTTCCTATGCTGCTTTTGGACAGACTTTTATCACAACAACAGAAAGTAAGCTAGAACTCTGTCTTTCTTCCCATATGAGAAATTTGTCCCTCTTTTGACCACTATTTATACCGTACTTCTAGAAACTTCTTTAACCCTCATGTGAGTTGAGGTCTGTTTGCACATCCCCATTAAATGCACTATATCTCTTTTAGTACATATCATCATCATTTCATGCCCTTTTAGTATTTACTACTGTGTATTACTTAGCTTGCAGATGGCAATTGCCTAATCAATTCTGGTATTTGTGTCTTGGGTGGCAATGCAAAAGAGCAAACTATATAAATCCTACACTAGAGAATAGTAAATGTATTGAATGCACATTTAGGGTCCAAAATTATTGTAAGAGCATGGAACAATGAGCCAGTTCCACGAGTAGAAATTTAATATGAATGCATGTCAGGCCTGAAAACCTGAGCTACAAAAAAGAAAATGCATAAGTAAATATAGCCAAATGGCTACAAGTGACAGATTCACAGGTGCCTAGACTGAATTTTAATCTACTATTGATAGAAATGACATCAGAGTATGCCTTAAGGTTTTGCTTCAGGCGATGCTTAATGTCAATCCATACATAGTAAGATATTGGTGCCCAAGACACTAACAATACCCAGAGCAGAAGGAACCAAAACATCCTTTTTATTTTAAAAGATGTAATGGTCTCATTGAAGTTAATTGGAAAAACCACAACCAGAGTAAAGTACTTCAGTCTTTGGAAAGCTCTTCAAGAGACAAATTGATAAAATGAAATATATTACAAAACAGAGATGGATAAAACTTCTGGAAGTGATTTCTTAAAGAACAGTTAAAGAAGCGGAGACTGTTTAACTTGGACGATGTTTAAGAGTGGACCTTGAGCTGTAGAGATGGCTTAGTGGTTAAGAGCACTGGCTGTTCTTGCAGAGGACCCAGGTTCAGTTCCCAGCACCCACATGGTGGCTAACAACGTCTCCACAGGGTCCCTGTGGAATTCCAAATGAATGTACAGAAATCATTCTCCCCACTCAGTCTCCTAAACTGCAGTGTAGACCTTTCTATAAATGATTTGGGGCACAAGGTAACTGGGATAGGGCAGGAGGCAAGCTCACTTCTCTTCAGGGCTAGCCTGTGTCAGATTCTTTCATACGTGTAATCTAATGTTACAATCATATGCCATTTCTGTATAATGTTGTATCACAACAAATGTTGGTACCTTTATTTTACTACAAAGGAATGAGTGTATGTAATCTACGACAAACTAGAAGACTAGATGTATACTGATTCCAAAAGACAGGAAAACTCTGGAAATTTTGGCCTTACACAGAAAAGAGTTTGATATCCACATGGCTCATTTAGGAGCTAGGGAAATGTGAGGCTGGTTCTGCCCGTGTCTGTGGAAGTGGTCACACTTATACCGTAGAAACACTACTTTCCTGTCTACAGAACTGTTCCCTCCCTTCTTGCCTTTGAGGAATGGGATCTACTTTTAGAATTACAATAAGGAGACATTTGACCCTTCCTGGGGTAGGAGGAAAATTTTGGATTAATGGCCAGTTTCATCCCTTTGAGGCTTTGTCAGATCTTTTTCCTCCCTTTTGAGAGTTGGGAAAATTAAAGAGGCGGTGTCACACAGGGAGGAATAGTCATGATGGGAAGAGTCACATAACCAAACAGCATGAGCTGGGGAATGTGAAGACTTGAACTCTGGCCCTCGCTTCTCTGTGTCTAGATCTATAAACTGGGCATCTGTCTCTCCCAAAGTGAAGGTTCTGTGATCTGAAATGAGCTCTCAGGTAAGCAAAGCTTTAAAAACAATCTCTCTTCCAAAGCAAGAAAGCTACAAGGGACCGACTCTCAAATCTGTTGTCCCCCTCCTTTCCACTGTACAGCCAATCAGTAGACATTCTTTTGGGAAAATAACCTTGATTTTTGAGTTCGTGTTGAAATGAAACTTGCTTAATGGTTTCCTTCTATTGTTTTCTGCATGTACAGATTACCTGAATGTTGTATCTGTTCACCTGTTCAAGCAGAGATGGGACAGCAACAAGATCGATCACCACACAGACAAGTATGATAACAACAAGTTGATTGTCCGCAGGGGGCAGCCTTTCTACATCCAGATTGACTTCGATCGTCCATATGATCCCAGGAGGGATCTCTTCAGAGTGGAATATGTCATTGGTGAGTGTCATGCGCCTTAGCCATAATACGTTGGCTCACATTGCAGAAAGGGGTGGGCACTGGTATGGTTACACTGTTTCCTAGCACCATATTTAACATTTTCTGGAGCAATTAAACCATCCAAACATCAATAATTTGAAAATCTAGTAAAGTCATCGTGATCAGTATGACTATTATTTAACTTAATGATTTTTTTCCTCAAACATATGTTTTTGACATCCTATAGTTGTGCCTTGTAATATGTTAGTGACAATTTGTTTCATGGCGTGAAATATTTAAAGCAAACCTTAGCATCTGATCACTACACCTGAGTATCCCAAATTTTGTTCCACACTGAGGTCATCACTGATGGTCCAAAGAAATAAATGGTCTGATAAAATTCACTCACCACTTTGTATTCTAATCTCTTGAAGACTAATGGTGCACATTAGCTTCAAAGGTTCTGGTAAGTTCCACTTATCTTTGCCTGGCTCATAGCTTCTCCAACTGACTCTGGAGCTCTTTTACAAAGTTACTTACATTTAACATACTTTAGTAAACATTCTCTAAGAATTCATGAAAGTATCAAAGAAAAACAGGCACAGAAAATCAAAGGTACTCTCGCTGAGGAAATGTGTCCACATAATCACTCAGCTGTCAAGTCAATCACTATTGAAAGTTACATAATAAAAATTGGTAGTTATTTTCAGAAAGAGTTCAAGTAATACAAAAGAAGGAAGTTTTTCAATTATAATAAAGATTATTTACTCCCAAAACAGCAACTTAAATGCGAAAGAGTTAACAAATGTAGTTGTAATAAGAAATTAAACAGAAATTCCTGCTATCACCGTCTGTTTATTAAAGAACAAAAGCAAAGAGTTATCTTCTATAAACATGTGGAAATAAGAGACAAAATGGCAACAAAGTCACAGGAGAAAAGCACAGTGTTACAACTTCATAAGATGGCTAGGTAGGAAGTAAAATTTTTTAAAGTAGTGTTTTATCTCCTCTAGCATTAAGCACCTAGAAACAGAAATAAGAAAAGTGTTTCATATATAATACTGATCACAGTTATGGAAGATCAAACTAAATCTTAAAAAGACAAGATATAAATTCTATATAAACCAGCCATTAAATCTTATAAAAGACACAAGGACTCAATGAAAAAGCCAAACATGTTCTTAGAGAGGAAATTTCAATATGTATTTTTAATACTTTTTCAAGATAGATGTTGATCAAGAGGTACAATATCCCAGTTAAACAGAAGGATAAGTTTTATGACCAACTGTGTATCATAGTGGCAATAGCTAATGGTTATATATTACAGGTTTTGGACTCCTAAGAGGAGAGAGGAGAGAGACAGACAGACAGAGAGAGAGAGGATATATCACAGACAGGATATTACTATGCAATACAAGTTAGCCTCAAAATCATTACGTTGTCCACACTAGTTTTGAACTTGGAATCTTCCTGTGCCAACTTCCTAAATGCTGAGAATAGAGCCATGGTTTACCACGATCAGCTTAAAACAGTAGAAACCACAAAAGGAATGATAAGTGTGTGAAATGGAGAGTATAAGTACTTAATTTAATAACTCTACAAAGTACATATATATCATAACATCACGTTACATTCCATAAATGCATGCTTTGTTAGTTCTGAAAAGTCTCCAAATACTAGCACATAAATCTAATCTATTGCAAGCTACAAATACATTTTGGCATTTTGAGGGTTCTTGGTTATGGTTTTTATTTTGAATTGGATACAATATTCTTAAGGTTCATTTGAAAGAGTAATTATCTGATGATAATAAAAAAGTGCTAAGTAACAGCATATTTTTAATTAGGGAAAACCATCAGAACATATTATAAAAATAATCAATAGAAAAACCAGAAAAAGTCTTCAAAATGCAAGGGAAATTAATGTAATTATAGATTCCTTGAAGATAAGTATGTGTGGTTAATGTTTGCCATTTGCTTCTTAAATAATTATAGAACAATTGGTTCTCCAACTGGAAGAAAAATTTAAAACTGTCCCTCATGTTATATACAGCAATAAATCTCAGATAGAATAGATACAAAACATTAAAATCTTACAAGATAATTTTGTGAGAAAATGTAACAAACTAAGATAAAATTGTAATTGTAAAACAATAAAGAAAACGAAATCTACAGAAACACATCAAAAATACCAAGCAGGCCATATATATGACCGAATGACTAAGTATGAATAGATGAACCAAAAAAACAAAGTAAAATAATGAACAGAAAATAGACATGGGATGTTATACAAAATACCATTCATAAATAAAGTGTTAACAAAGGACAAAATCCACAGTCTTTTCTGAATTGACCACGTGAGGATGAGCAACAGAGACACACAGAGATGTGCGTGGCCATTAGCAAAGAGGAAGTCCAAATGGACTCCAGTCATACAAAAGTGCGCTGAGGTTGAGTAGGAGACAGAAAAGCGACTCAAAATACTCTTCAGCAGATGATCAGCATTTAGAAAAAGTAACATCATTTGCTAACCTATATGCCGACAAAAATGGCATATAAGTGTGCAACTTTATAATCTTTTTGAGAAACAATTTGGCAATATTTATTAATAATAAAAGTTCATTTGTTCTGATCTAGTAATGTCGATTCTAGGTACCTGTACCAGAGATTTAAAATCCAATTTCTAAAGATAGGTATTGTTGATCATAGCATTTTTAATAGAAAAACTCATATCTCAATAGTTGAATATGTTGTTAAATATTTGTAGCATGGACAGGCATTTTTAAGAAGAATGAACTAAATCTATGCACGATGACTTCCAAAAAGGTATTGAATTAGAAGACAATATAGAAAAGTAATATACAGTCATTTCTCTAATCCATGGGAGAAATGTTCCAGAGCCCTCACTGAATGGTGAGTTACAGATAGTTCTGGGCTATATGGCAACTATGTACTTACTCTATACATATCTATGATAAAATTTTATTCATTAATTAGGTTTAATGAGAAACAACAATCATAATCAAATAGAACAATCACCAAAATATCCTTTTGTGAATATGATCTGCTCTTCTCCACTCTCAAAACATCTTATTATGTTGTAGTCACCTTCTTCTGGTGGCATTAATGATGCCAATTTGGCAAGAGGAAGTGAGGTGAATGACGTAAGCATTATGACACAGCATTGAGCTGCTGTGTAAGTGTTATCTGATCCTAAGCAACGGATACTATATGAGAGTGATAACTGACAGGACAGCTAAGTGACTAAGGGGCAGGTAACATATACAGTGTGGCTACACTGGAAAAAGGAATGATTCACATTGTGGGTGTAAAGGAGTAGAAAGGCATGGCATTTTGGCACTCTGCTCAGAATGGCACATAACTAAAAACTTATGAATTATGAGGCTGAAGAGATGGCTCAGAGTTTAAGAGCACTGGGTGCTCTTGCAGAGAACCCAGGTTCAGTTCCAGTACCCACACAGTGGCTAAAAACCATTGGTAACTCCAGCTCCAGGGGTCATGATGCCCTCTTCTGACCTCCGTGGGCATTAAGCAACACAGGTGCACTTACATACATGCAAGCAATATACTCCTACACATAAAATAAAAAAATAAAATAAAAAGAATAAAAAATAAAGTGTGTTTCAAAACTTAGGAGTTATTACTTCTGGGATTTTTCCATTTTCAGACTGAGGTTGGTGGAGCCTAACTGAGGCTGTTGAAAGTGAAAATGCAGATAAAGAAGGGCATGTATAAATGCACACATGAACTTTGTGGGAGCGTAGTCAAAGGGAAAATGAACCAAAGAGGAAAACAGCTACGAAGGACAAAAGGCAAGCATGATATGACTGACACATGCAAAACTCTTACTATGTGGGACTACAAAGAACTTATACTAAAAATAAAAGCTTCCTTAGGAAGAAAACCTTTGACCTCTGAATACTTGAGAAATACAGTTCATGCGTACTTTCATTTACAAGTGTAAATTGATGTACAAATGTGGGGAAAGCAATTGGCTGAAGCCAGAATAGAAGTGGGAAAGAAGAAATCAGAAAGTCAGAAAAACAACACCTGCGTGATACCTGGGGTCCCGCAAAGACCTGACTGCCTTCCCAATTGCGAGAGGAGAGAGAGCTAAGTGATTACTGCCATATGTTAAGCAAAATGAAATAATTATAATTCAGTTGTCTTTGGTGTAGACTGGTGTCTACATATATTAATTCTTTTAAACAGTGACTAGTCCAGGTGAGAGAAGAATGCGCAGTTAATATTGTTAATGGTATTTTAAAATCTGAAGATTTGTTTTTATTTCCCACCCAAGTGATTTTCTCTTTCCTTTGTGCATATGTGATAGTGTGTTCCTTCATTCAGGCACAAGGTCTAAACTTGGTCAAAATGCCCTCAACACATTTATAATGAAACAATCACTCTTGTATGCTATGCATGTTGGCTAATGCTCACTCAAAGTTCTGTCCATACTTCTGAATTTAGATCACCCTCTTTTTAACCAAATGTTTAAGACAGTGAGAAGTGGATACAGAGGGTTAGAGAGATGGGTAATCAATTAAGAGCAGTTCCTAGCACCAAGGTTGGGGGGTTCACAACCACCTATAATTCCAGCTCTAGGGGACCCAGTTCCTTTTCCTCTCAGGGCACCTGCACTCAAGTGTATACCCCCCCGACATACACACATACACATAATTAAAAATGATAAAAACAAATCTAAAACAAGTAAGCTTGATAGTTCGACCAGGCTCCAGAGGATGGACACACACCCAAGAATATTTGTAGAACATGGATTAGATTCCATAAGCCTTTAAAAGATATTTATAAAGAACATAGAGTTGAGGGGGTAACAAGGTGGTGGCGGCAACGGGGGATGGTTCTGACTATAATCAAAATACATTGTATGACATTCTCAATGATCGCTAAAAGTATTTAGAAATAAAAACAAAATGGAAAGTGGCTAAGGATGCTTTGACCTAGAACTGAACTTGTCTTCACTCTAGGACCTTTTCCCCA